CATTGGTCTCCACGGTTTAATGCCTTGGCATAGGTACATACTATTTGCAAAGTAAAATTATAAAATTGAACATTGACTTAATAAATAATAAGATATGTGTAGACTGACAGTAAAGAGAGGTAAAACTTTTTAAAATACCATGTTGCATAATAAAATAATGTCACACTTGTAAGGATATGTTCAGTTATTATGTATCTGTGTTTCAAAGTGTCATTCCTACTCCTTAGATCTCTGATAATACATTTGCTTACTGATATTTGGAAGCAAAAAATGTCTCCAATTCATGCTTCCTATATACTCATTTGTAAATGTGATTCCTGATCAGAAGTGATGTCATGGTGTGAGTTCTTGCCACTGTTATTCTTCCAGGTGGATTGCAATTCACTTGTGCTTTATGCATTCATAGCCCATCTAAATTCAGTATGTAGGTAGTGGTTTTGATGATACAACCCAAAACAACGTAATGGATCAGATTTAGGGGTTCTATGATTGAAGTATAAAAGGTAAGTTTGATTTGTGAGATATTAATGAAGCCCTTCAGTGCATGGCTGCCATCTGATGTGTTCTAAAGGAAATCTAATTATTTTCATTATGAATGCTATGAAAGTCAGGTCATACACATTTGCATATATTTTCTCCTAGTTTTTAATCACTCTGAGAGACTGCTAAGCATTTCTCTAGAGAAAATTCAAAGTTAGGAGAAAACTAGGTCTGTTTTAAGCCAATCCTACACGGTATATGGAACTGTCTTTTTAACTTCCCTGCCCTCACTCAGTGAGGGGTGATTGTTCTTTCATCTGGAGAAACAGAGGGTATGTGAGAATGCATTTGATTTTCACTCAGAATATTTTAGCCTGAGCTAACCAAAATGATACTGTTTGGCTTTTGAAGACTAGCAGTACCTAATAAATGTGTGTAATGTGCTGCGTCATTGTGTTAGATACCAAAATCTTGGGCATCAAAGTGACCTTAAATGTTTCATTCTCAATTTCCAAGCTTTTAGGACAGTTCTACAAATGTGGTCAAATCACTAATTTTCTCATCATGTGGTCCCTTGTTCTGCTCATGAATAAGATGGAATGCAGCTAAATGCTATTCATCTTAATAATTAGTATCTAAAACTTATCAAAAATTAATATTATCCCTCCTGTACAATTATGAGATTTTATATGAATTATGAGAGGAGAGTCTCATTTTCTTTAATGTGGTATAGCTCCTAGAAGGTCAATCTCAGTCCAGTAGCTGACCTCACATCCAGAATATAGACATAGCACAATTGGAGTTGATGGGTTATCAAGTTTAAAAATAAAACAAGAGAACAGAAATTTCCAGAGGTGGGAAGGGAGAAGTTAAGGGGAGTAACTGAGGTAAAAGTGATCAAAATATGTTGTGTGAAATTCGAAAAGAATTTTAAAAATTTAAACAATAAAAAATTCAAAAAATTATGTGATGTTTTCCCTTGTAATTCACTTCTATAAAGTAGCTGTTATTTCTATTATTGTCTCAATTTATATAAGAGAAAATAGAGAATAAAAAAAGGTAAAATTGTTTTGCAAGACAGGAGGAAATATATGATAAAGAACCTCTGGGTAACCCTCAAATGTTCTTATGAAGTTTTTAAAATCCATTTTGAAAGTATTTATTTAGTCCTTAGACACATGTATAGTCAGGGTGTTGTGGCTGTGGGTGTGTGTGTCCATAATATATAAATACCTAGATAAATCATCATTATAAATAACTGTCCACTCAAATCAACATGTGCATTAAATCATTATTGTCTTAACATAATGATTTTCCTGAGTGCCTTTTCCCTAGCCAGTATCACCTAGCAGACGCTGTCAAACACGTAGATGTTGTTCTTAATGATGCTTTCACTAGGTGAACAAATAACAAGCATAGCCTACGCTAGCTTACTGAAATGCCTCCCGTTTTCTAATTCCTCTGTGTATGGATGTGTAATATTCACAGTGGTGAATGAGAAGGCGGTCAGTACTGAGGAAGGCAGGGAGGAGGAGAGGGGGTTGGAAGGGTAGAAATGGTCTTTATATGGGAAATATTTGGGGACTCATTTCTCCTCTTTTACTTCAAAGTTCTGTACCCTTTGTGTGCATTACAAAGCGGGCACTTTGCCTCTTTTTTAACATGTTGCTTGTTTTATGTCCCCTAGCAGGGTTCTATAGTGAGAGAATGCTGTCTTTGGACCAAAATGCAACAGTTCCTTACTCAGTCACATGCCAGATAGGTGACTTCAAGCACTTTATGTAATCTTTCATAGTCTCAAGCATTTTCTGCCATCAAGCTAGGATAAAAAATACTCATTCACAATATGTGCAGTCAAAACTTAAAACATTTATAAATACTCCTCCCCTATAAAATAATTGTAAATATTGATATAAGAAATTATTTTTATTTTAGCGTTCATAGGGAAAAAGGCCATATTTAATATATTTGTTATTTCTTATTTGTTATCATCATCATCTTCAGGTGCTAGACAGGTGGTTCTCAAGGTTTTCAAGTTCTTCCCAAAATACAGTTATCCAAGATGCTTATTTAACAGCAAAAGGCAGTCTCTATGTCAAGCATTTTGATTATTATGCTCATGAGATAATAAACCCAGATTCATTGTTTCTGAGGCTTCGGCTCTCAGTAAAGGGATGGTGTCTAGTATCGGCTTAACAGCCCTTGACTAGATCCATAAGTGGTAATGACTATTTCCTAATTCTTCCCACGGGAACTGATTGTGTCTTTTTGTTTTACAAATACCCCTTTTTATGTATGACAAATCCAATTTTAGGATGCATTTCCAAGGACCTGGTTTGATTGCTTCTAGGAACTATTGCCCTTTCTCTTATTATAAATTGTGTTATCAAAGACTGAACTATCTCATAACTGAGATATTTCTATAAAAAACAGAAAATAAATTAGATTGCATTTGAGATACCAGTTTGGACCATGAGAGCCTAATATCAGGAAAAGTGCAACCTTGAAAAAATATCCTTGTCCTTTGAGAGAGACACCTCTCTTCTTAGGATTAGAGTGAGAATTTTAATGGGGTATGGATTCTATGCTGAGAAGTTGTTTATTGTGCCATTGACTTATCACTAGAATATACATAAAATCTTGAAATTTACTTTCAAATCAAAGTTTTATATGAAAGCAGATAATCCACCAAAAAAGATCTCTAGATTAGCTCATACTAATAAAAACATAATCATTTAAAACTCCACAATTGTGTTTCAATATAGTTTATGGTGTTTGAAAGTAAACAAACATTTTAAAAAGTTCACCAAAATCGTACACTGTGAACCCAGCCATACTAATGCTTACTAAGTTCTTTTTAAGGCCTGTATTTGTGCATTGAATAGAGATGGATATGCTATTATGAATGGATGGAATTTCAGATGTCCTTAAAGTTACCATCATCTGAACTGAACTGTAATCTATGCAGAAATGGAAAACATCCTACTGCTATCACAATTTTTTTTCTGGCATTGAGAAATGGCTCAATGGGTAAAACTTGCTGTACAAGCATGAGAATGTCAGTCCAAATCTCAGCACTCCTGTGGAACTGAGAAATCAGACACAGGAGAATCCCCAGATGCTCGTGGGACAGCTAGTCTGGCAATGCATGAGCTAAACAAGAGAAGCTGTCTCAGACAAGGTGGAAGGCAAGGACCAATACGAGAGTTTGTCCTCTGACCTTTACATGTACACAGAAAATGCCTTAAGAAGAAAGAAAACTATCTTAGACTAAACACTAGAAAATGCCTTAAATAACATCTTTTTACTTTATTTACTTTTGATATTTAGAGATTTAACTCCTTCGTTATCAGGAAAGAGAAGTGGGTTATTGATCATGATTGATGTGCCGCTAAGTGTTTAAAGACTGGTATTCTGGTTATCCATACCACATTATTTAATACCAAGCCAAAAGCAAGGAACCTACAGAGTCTCTAATTTATTTTGTTGATTTTGCATTTAAGGGACCAGTTCCCAGACTTGTAACATTCAGCTGTCCAGATATAAAATATTTTTAAAGACAGAATGTGACACATTATGTAAAGATATGGTGCATGCTTTTGCTTGAGGGATTTATTTGGGGCCACGTTAGATGAATCTATTAATTATTAATATGCACTGGGTTCTGTTGCATGTATCTCTGAAAATACTGTTTACAGTCTAATACATGCTATTCCCTGCACTCATATTTTCTCTGCTCAAATGTTAAGATTCAGGGATTGAAAGTATCATAATTATACAGAATCTTTTCACCTGAGAATATCCAATGATGAGCATCATATGAGTCCCACAAATTATTGTTAAATGAATGGTAGAACACTTCCTGAATGTAGTATGCTTTTCAATGGACACTATACATTCAGATCTGTTAGAAACTATTAGAACCAGTAGCATTTTGAAGGTTCAAAAACCTTCGATGAGGAAAAAAGAGATGTTTTCAGAGATGTAGTACACGGATATTGAAAACCTAATTATTCATTTCTTCATGATAACTTCTTTTCTGACATGAAACCAAATATGTTACAATTCAAATATTCTATATTAGAGGGGGATAGTTTGATGGCATTCATCACTAAACTAACCACTTGAATACTTTATTTTTTTTTCTTTTTTTATCATCTCTTACGCATGATCTAGGGTCATGTGATAATGTGATCATGTTTCATAGACAGGGGAAGACTCACAACCAGATAGATCTACATCGGAACCCCATGTGTACCACTTCCTACTTCTAAAAGGAAGATGCTGTTCGTTTCCCTCAGCCTTTGACACCTTGTATGTGTGAGTCTAATGATACCTCCCTTATGACAAGGTTGTATGAGGTTGAAATGCTTCAATAGACTTGAAAATGCTTAGATTGCTCCTTCACACATCACGCTACCACTGTGGGTTGTGATACATGCAGAGAGCAGCTGCTACATCGGTGTTCTTTCTATGTGTTTGTTTCTGTTTCGTGAACTCATGTGTGTTTCCTCTTACAGATGGATACACAACTGACGACATTGAGTTTTACTGGCGTGGCGATGATAACGCAGTCACGGGGGTGACGAAGATCGAACTTCCTCAGTTCTCCATCGTAGATTATAAACTTATCACCAAGAAGGTGGTTTTCTCCACAGGTTTGTAGTAGAGGGATTATGCAAAAGAAACTTCAGCACATTTTTTCAGGATTCCTTTTCTTGAGGCTGTATTCTAGGAACCAACAATATAGAAGCCATGCTACAACTACTGTTTCCCAAGAGGCCCCATTGCACCATTCAGAAACGCAGTTATTTTTCTGGAAAGGCAATTTCAAGCCAAGCCAAGCCCTTCTCTTCACTTCTCATTTGCCAGAGACGAGATGAAGTATAGAGAGAGGGAGGAAGGAAGAGCTGGGCCAGACTTAGGTGTATTGGTTTTTTGTTTGTTTGTTTTTAAAATCACTTTTTTTTTTCAGTCATTATGGTTTTCTGGGGACAGCTCATTTGGCATCGAGGATAGTTCATTCAGCACCTAGCACTGTAGCATGGCATCCTCTGAGATCAGTAGCCTAGAAGGCCACATTTTCCTTAGAGCTTGGGATTTTCATTAGCTCCCCCTTCTCTTTATGCTAAGGCCTCCCAAATGTTGAGATGACATGGGCCCCTTTATCACTTTATCTCATACATCCGTGATGTTGTGAGTAGCCATACGAGCTCATCTACAAAGGACACAGGAAGGCATGCATTTGCTAGAAACTCCTTTAGTGGAAGTAATAAGCTCGCTAGAATATTCCTCTTGGTGTTTTTCTTGTTGAAATGAATCCAACAGGAGCATAAGTAACAAGCTCTATCACTGCAGATTTGGAGAATTGACTTTCTGCTAAGGATCCAGAAACTTGTCGAGCTGTAAACCACTTCCAGCAAAAGCTGTTGTGACTTAGTGAAAATGCAAAGTTGTCTCTAGCTTAAGGAAAAAAAAAAAAAAAAAAAAAAAAAAACAGCCCATAACTGGGTGGGAAAGTCTTCCTTGTCTCTCCTGCTGCCTTTTACAGGGTGAACCTTTCACACTCCACGACTGCACACTCCTATATGTCTTCTCTATAATGGTAACTCCCCACCACAGCTCCACGGTCAAAGGACTCAGGTTTAGGAAACTTGTTTTGTTTGCTCTTTGGGGCAGGCATGTTTTGTTGGATGGGTTTTTTGGTAGCCTAGTACATAGTGAGAGCTATGTCCTTAGGATGACATTGAATTCTTTATATCCCATGAATCTTATTTAAAACTTGTAAATCTCAAGTGATTTCTTTGCTCTCAAGCAGTGATTCTCCACCTTCCTAATGCTGAGACCTTTTAATACAGTTTCTCATATAGTGACCCCCAACCATAACATTATTTTTGTGAAAACCCACACAGACACCTGGGTGCTGATCACAGACTGAAGATGCATTCTATGGTTTCTGAAGGTGTTTTTTTACTTCCATTAGAGCCTACAGCCTTATTCTTATAATTAAAAAAAAAATTGCAGGGTAAATGTAGGAAGCAACAGTTGAAAGAGGGAAAGAGTGACTACACCAAATTGCATTGTCCTCACAGTTGCAGAGAATGAACGTCTTTGGTGTAATATATGAGGCTGAGCAGGAAGAACATGGATTATTTAGTTGCTGGTAAGAACAGGATGCATTCAACACTTGAGTCCTACGGCTCATTAAAACACCTGGGCTCTCAAACTAGATTTACAGGAAAAAATGCTCCTCACCACCAGCTAAAATTAAATTTAGGGAAGAAGTACAAACTTTTTATGGGCCTTTAATGGCAAGTACCCTATAAATATTGATTGATAATGATGATGTTCTCAAATTGCCTTTCTAGGTTCTTACCCGAGATTGTCCCTCAGCTTTAAGCTGAAGAGAAACATTGGCTACTTCATCCTGCAGACGTACATGCCATCCATTCTGATTACCATCCTCTCGTGGGTCTCCTTCTGGATTAACTATGATGCTTCTGCTGCACGAGTTGCATTAGGTAGGCCATTTGCAAACTGTGGAGTCCTCTCTTTCCTCCACTCCCCTTCTCCCTCTCCTCCCTCCTCTCCCTCTCTCTCCATCTTCCTCTCTTCTTCTCCTCCTCTTTCTCTTTGTGCTTCTTTCCTTTTCTTTCCCGTGTGTGTGTGTGTGTGTGTGTGTGTGTGTGTGTGTGTGTGTGTGTGTGTGTGTGTGTAAGCACATGAACTTTCCTTTCACAGAATTTTATGGTGTACGGTAAGACTGGACATTTCCCATTACAAGACTTAAGCCGTGAGACTTTGATGATCATCTGATTCAGTGTTAAATCAATTAAACACAAATTAAAGTTCTTCCATGTCAAAATTAGTTAATGGTAGAGCTGTTGGTAATGAAATTGGTTTCATCAGTTTGATAGTCTTATCAAAACATATTTCACGTAATAATGCTTGCATAATTGCTCAATTTGTCTCCATGCTCCTTCACCTGTGAAATGCTTCCTTTTATCCCACACCCCAGCATGGAGATGTGCTATATAACAAATGTATAAGCAACAATTTTTCTCAAGGTTTATTCCTGCTTCAAGGCAGCATGTAGAAGGCAGGAGACAAAAGAGTCAAAATGCTGGAACATCCTTTGTAGTATTGTTCACCATATGCCTGACTGTGCTTTTTCTCTCCTAACACCAGATGTGAATAAATTACATTTCATAAACATTTTTATGAGATTCAAGTAAAGTAAATTGTATGACCTCTTGCACAGATTTTACTATTTACATTTCTGACTATTCCCTTTAAAATAAGGGATTGTTTGACTTCATCATAAGATCCTGATTCAGTCATTACACTCACAGGAAAACCATTCATTTTGCATTGAAAAACATTTGCTTAGCGTCTACCATGTGCTGACATAATGAGGTACTAAAGATGCACTTCTCCTTTTGTGAAAGTTACATTCTTAGCAGTTAAAGATAGATAAGAGTCCTAACAGCAAAGAGATGGAAGCAACCTTGGTGACTACTAACAAAAGAATGGATAATGAAAGTGTGGTCTATATACATAAGGGAACTTTATTCAACTGTAAAAACCGAAATTATAAAATCTGAGGAAAAATAGATTGATCTGGAAATTATACTAAGTAATATTCTCACAAAGGAAAATGTTACATTTTTTAATCATATGGGAACCCTAACTTTTGATGTTTATATGCATAAGTATGTGCATGAGTGTGAATGAAACTGGAAACGAAGTCATGAGGGGAGAAAAAGAGGTGATGAGGGAAGGGAAGAGGGTAACAGAGTACAGAGAAAACAGAAAGTTGGGTACTAGAGTGGAAAGGTAAAAGTGGAGCAGAGAACTGGAGTAGAAGATGGACAATGTAGAATAAAAATAATGTTTGAAAATGTCACAATGAAATCTAAAATTTTGCATGATGATTTTTAAAAAAGTAGAAAACTAGAAACTGGAGAGCCACAAAATGTAACAGTGGTGAGTCTGCAGAGAGAAGAAAACAACATTTTGTAGCTGTGCCTGGGAGTGTTACCATGATCAGGGCTGACCTCACCCAGAAGCTGTTACAGGAGAAAAGACTTCAAGAAAATAAAAGATGCAGAAAAGCATCTGAGTGGTGACAGTCCAAGCCTCTGACAAAAGCTCAGGGCTTGGAACAAACTGGGAATGTGAGTGGGAACCTGCAGAGGACAGTATGGAGAGAAGTCATAAGAAAAGATAGTAGGAGGTGGGAGACGAAGGGGTCGTGAAGGGATTCAGAGGTGTGGTTAAAGGCTTTGCTGTTATTCAATGTGAAATAGACACTGAATGTGTAAGTGCCGGGATATAATTTCTGTTTTAGGGGGGTAGTATTGAATGCTATTAGGTTAGGCTGAGGTAGATCAAGGGTGAGGGTGGGAGAGAGGAGCAATGACCTCCAGGAATAAATTCTCTGTCACATGTGTTCTTAGAATGACATAAATACCTATTTAAACTAACCATAAATACAATTTCTATTTAGTGGTTTTGTGATTATCTCCCCTAAATCATTGAAAGATCTACTGGAGAAAGGTTTGTATGTGGTCATATTTCTGTGTTGTTTTATGCAAAGATTAGCGTTCATAAAATGCTAATAAAGAAATGGAAACCATATACCCTGTTTTCATAAAGTAAAATTATAGTATCTATTGTGTATCTGTTGTCCAAATAAATAACTTATTGAAGCTTTAAGAGAAATGCTTAAATTAGCTTTGTATTTGAATCATTTAATATTAGGTACACAACTACTTTCAAGGGACATTCAGATTAATGTTAAAGTCAGCAATGTAAATGTAGTAAGTGTGTAATATAGTATAATGTGGAGGAGGAATGTCAAGGAGTAAAATAAAATTGAAAGTATTTCAAAATGACTAAAGAACATCTGAAATCTGTAAGAAAACACCTTATCTAAAGTAAAACCGGCATCCAGACTTATGTTCATGTAGCTATTCATGAGGTTCTTCTAAAAACAAAATAAAAATCATTAAGGAGACAGAATTAAATGAGAAAACTTCATCAGAGAAGTCTTTGCAAAATGACATTAAAGTTTTGAGGTATGATTTGGGGTAGCTTGGAAGGCGAAGGTTCGTGACATCTAAGTTCAGATGGTGGCAGCGCCACCTGGGTGACCTTGGCCTCTGTCTGTCCTTTGTTTTCTCAGCACTGTTTTTCTACAAAGCTGAACTGTACTTACTGTATGGAGGACTCTGAATCCCAATGACTTTACTTTCCAGTGGCAGCTCTGAGACTAACTGCTCTCCACTGTTAGAGACGCCTGCTGACTGGACAAGAGAGTATAACCTGACCCAGAGTGACATTTCCAATCAGGACTCCTATAGCTTAGGTGTCTCATATCTGTGTGCTATGCGTTCAGCTGTCCAACTCAAAAATATGAACACTCTGGTCCCTGTTTCTTTAACCCTCTGCTTCCAGCTTCCAAATGTTCACACCCATTTGTGTATCATCTATATAATGCATTCATAGATCTCAGAACTATTTTTGCCTGCTTTAATTTCATGTTTCCATTATTTATATGGACTATCAGGGGAACCATTTAACTGGTAGTCTTTGTTCCTGTCTTATACTCTGTTCCTCCATTCTCCACAGTGTTACCAGAGCAGTTTTCCTAAATTCAATGTGCCATGTATACGCTTGCCTGTCGGCATCTGGCCAGCCTTTGGCATTCTCTTTCATTTGACCTCCATTCTTCTTTAATATATCTATGAAAATCTTGAAATCTTGTTAAAGAGCTGTGAACTCTCTTGAAGGAAGTTTTTCTTACATGAAGTTTTTCCACCCATGATGCCCTGGAGCCCGCTGGAGCCTTTTTTCTCCAGTCTCTGGTTGCCTGGGAAACACCCACTCATTCCTCAGAAAGCACCCCGCAAGTCTACCATTCTTGCCCCTGACACAACAGGAATCTGAACTAGGGTCTTCTCTATGCTAATTTGCCCCAAACATACATGTCTACCATAATATTTAATTTGTATTTCCAATCCCCTACTTCATAAATAACTACAGATAGAAAAATACAAATTAAAGGAAATTTCCCATAACAATTCATGTTCACTGTAAATTAACTTATGCATATTCCCAGGGATGGTATTTGATAGGCTGGTATATGATAAACCTCCATCAAATACATCAGTATATATAAATAAATAATGCTAGCTTTTCCAGCTTTTGTGAGAACAGTAAGGGAACAGGAATGTTATGACTCTAATTTTTCCTCTCTTTTCTTTTCTTCAGGAATCACAACTGTCCTAACAATGACCACAATTAACACCCACCTCAGGGAGACTCTCCCTAAAATTCCCTATGTAAAAGCCATCGACATGTACCTGATGGGGTGCTTTGTCTTTGTCTTCATGGCCCTTCTGGAATATGCCTTGGTCAACTACATCTTCTTTGGGAGAGGACCCCAGCGCCAAAAGAAAGCAGCAGAGAAAGCTGCTAATGCCAACAATGAGAAGATGCGCCTGGATGTCAACAAGGTACATTTACAGGGAAAGTAGTACATCTCATAGGGTAATGCTATAGAGCTCTATGGACTTCTTAACACATAGAGAAACATGGCCAGGAGAAGGGAATGGTAATATCGTCCCAATATTACATAGATAATAACTGAGAGGCAAAATTGGCTCCCTAAATGTATCACCCAATGTTTGAATGGCCTTTCTGTCAGCAGTAGATATGTTCAAACTTCAATACCTGATAACCACACAAGCTGTTTTTCCATATATGAGAATCATATGTTATAATTAATTTACATTTCTCTAAATTTAGTTACTTCATTTAAATTTATTTAAATAGAAAACTTCATTTCATCTTACTCAATAGCACTTGCTGGTACATGACCTTAAATATAAGCATTATTAAGCTGTTGCTTATATTAAATGAAGGCTCTGGACCTAAGATCCACACTCTCTTTGATTTAAAATAGAAATAAACAACTTTAGAAACATGTTAATTACCTACCAACAACAACTTGAGATGTTTTTCTCCTCCAAGTAATCAAAATGATAGGAAGAAGTAGAGAAAAGAGGAGTAATTTTCTCAAGTGACATGGATTACTTAATGCCTCGCCTATGTACCACTTACCCCAGAGCACTTCCCTGAATGAGGTGCCCCCATCTTCATTAAATTAAGCAGGATCACAGACTTCCTACACAAGTTTACACACTATGTCTTCTTGAAGTCAGAGTTTCATCTCAGTGGAATGTCCAGAAGAGAATTTTTGAAAGACTGAATCCTGGGTTTCTCCTAAGCCTGGGCATCACACATTTTAAAGGATCACTGGGTTATTCTAGTTTGCCACCCAGTTTAGGAATCCTCACTTCAGGGCTTTAGTGCCAGACTCAGTGGAAGTGGGTTTCTTTGATCCAAATGTAACTTCCCCCTGGCTTGCTATTGTAATGCTTTCTGCCCTAAACAGAATAATTATGAACCCATTTCTTCATTTTCCATGTTTGAACTTTTTGAGATAAATAAAATCATGTTTTTATTTAACATCTGCCCTAGTGTTTATGAAATAGTATATAATACAGGACCCATTAAATAGTTCATACTGAAATCATGGGGAAGAAGAATGTGCTTAAACCTTCTGTAATTATTAGCAATAACAATAGTTAACTAGGTCACTGGCATCTTAATGTCTTCACCTTCAGTTTAACTCTAAGGATAGAACACAAGTGAGCTCCAGCATTGGAATTTACTTGTGGCCAACTCCATGGAAGCTCCTGAGTCATGATCCCAATTTAACCATAGGTCTGATATTTGTTTGTAGACTATTTTTAAAATAAAGACTCTTCTTTCTCAGATGATGATTTCTGTAATGATAGATTTTATATGTAATCTCTGAAAGCCAATAAGCAGGGAGTCTAGGAACTGTCAATGTATTGTCAGTGCTCAGGTATTCTGTAGCTGGAATCTTTAGGCTGGTAGACAGCAAACAGCCAGTCTATCAGTATTGGCTTTCTCAGTTTGACAAATGAGAACACAGATAAATCCCTTTCATGATTTGTCAGCTATTGTATCCTAAGTAAAAAAAAAAAAAAGCAGAAAGAATAATAAATAAAATTGTCTCCTAGGACTAGGGTTTAAAACGAGTTTAAACGATTGCCTAATGCAAGACTGGCTTAATAAGATAACATCTGATCCCATTTCACCTTCATCTACCTGATCTTTTCATACTAATTTGCATTTAAATGATAAATTTAAGATTGGAGCAGTGGAGATTTTAAGTAAATGGAACCTAAAGGAGCCTTTCAAAGTTTTAAATTCAATTGTTTCCAGATGGAAGCAGAGAAAAACTCATGGGATAGGTACTTTTTGATGATGAAAAGTCCCTCCTTCTGTCTGAAGGTGGGCACAGTACAGACCATAAGTAGCAAAATCGAGAACACAAAAGGATGCCAAGGCAGCTCCTAGTACAGTGGTTCTCAAAACAGGATAATTTTTCCCCCGGAGAAGTTTTGACAAAGTCTAGAGACATTTGTGTGTGTGTGTGTGTGTGTGTGTGTGTGTGTGTGTGTAAAAAGCTGGAAGGTGGCTGTCGCTACTGGTATTTCATGTGTGACAGCCAAGGATGTCAGTAAACATTCCATAGTACCCAAAATAGCTTCCCATGCTGAAGAATCATCTGCCCAAAGCACCCAACCTTCCTACTTCAGACCTGAGAAACAGTGCCCTTTCCCTTCCCCCAAATAATATATTTGAGTTGGTATCGTTAGTCTTTGACCACATGGTTTGACCATTTTATTTGATCAGAACCCCAGTAAAGATATCCAGCACAATAATTCCACATCAAATTTTCAATCAATCTGGTTTAATATTTGGCCATTTGTGACAATAGAAAGAGTCAACATGTCTGGCCTTCAATTCCTTATCTGTAAAGTAGGGTCAATTCTTCTGTCATAATATTATTATGAAGAGGTTATTTGAAGATTATTATGAGAATGTGAAAAGAGGGTAAGAGAGTCCTCATTACCTAGTAGCCTATTCATTGAGTAGTATGTATCAATAAAAATGATATTTTAAGCAACACTGCTTTTATATTAAATAGACCATCTACATTCTGATTGGTACTGATTTCTTTGGTTTTTACATGGTCCAGCATCCCCAAAGTAGAGTACTACTTAAAAAGGAGTGTATGTGTGTCAGAAATTACTATTACAGCAAGGGGATCCCCTTTTCAATAGTTGTTAGCTATAAAATTTACAGCAAACTTATTGTGTCAAATTCTGTCAGACATCTCATAGGGCAGCACATCATTTTGATTAGATTAAGACAAAAAGATGCCCATGTAGCATTTCAGATACTGACTTTCTTTTCAACCCAGCATGAAAGGTCAGAGGAGATCCATATTGAGTTCTGATTATGCAATCTTTCTTTTGTGTCAGTATCATGCATAATGCCACTATTTCTTATCAGAAATGTCCCTTCTTTTCAAGCATAATTCTAAGGTTATTTTCCCCCAAGATTGGACACATAATCAGCTAAGTATTGTTATCTCCTGTCGCAAAGAAAAGAATCAGCTGCTAGGAGAGGGATTAGTTTTGTTTTGTTTTTTTCTTTTCCTGCTTTGATGGCTTCCTAGAGATGGAAGGACTGTGTGTGTTCAGCTGCGGTGATTTTAGACTGCACAGTCCCAAGGTCAGGGCAGGATGAGATGGGGAAGGTCAAAGGGGAAAGATGTGCTTCTGTAGTTTCCTTACTTCTCTTTATTAGTCACTGTTAATTTTTTGAAAATATTTTTCAGCTTTTGAAGCACTTCTCATCCTGTCACTTAAATAACTCGGAAACCAAAGCTAATAAGGAAAACATGCAATAGCCAGAATTGCATAGGAAAGTTAACCTACCCTAGTACCTGCTCTGGGTTTCCCCAACCATAATTAGTGTGCATTCCATGGTACTGAGAAAAACAATGGGAAATTACAACTCTCGTTCCATATTAGTCCATCTGTGCCATCAGCTTACTTGACTTAAAGCCCAGCATCCTGCACATGAAAATCCATAACTCAGCATCTCTTTTACCTCTACTTAGGGAACAATCTAAATTGTAAAACATTAAGAATTTCAAATCAACTTCAAACCATCATAAGACCTACTGATGTTTTCCCCAAGTGTCCTCTGCAGTAATTCAACACATATAATACTCTCCCCAAAAAATAAATAATGAGAAAAATATGCAAAATCTTTCTTGATGTGAGCAAAGCCTATCTGTTTGTTTTTGCAGGGGTGTGTGTGTGTGTGTGTGTGTGTGTGTGTGTGTGTGTGTGTGTCTGTGTGTGTGTGTGTTCCCTGATAGAATTTGCTTTAGGTTGATTTGTTCTCATGGCTAAAGTTTTCAACTCCACCCACCCCCACCCATGTCGCCACACACACACCTTTCCTTGCTTTAAGCTTTATGTGGTCTCCTGAGTTCTTTTTCTGCAAGTTGCTAAGTATTTGCATAGTTGAGAATCTAGTCATTCTTTCTTTTTCAACCTTAGTTACTGCACACTTGAAATCGCTCCAATGTGCTTTTCGTATTGTTAAACCTACAGCCACCAGTTTTCTAAATAAAACTCTTCCAAAAAGAATCCCTACTTGAGGTTCCTTAGTCTACATTAGGGTGTTGTGACTCTGTATTGTCCTTATGACTTTGCTGAGGCTTTTGTAATGCAAAGCCACTAAGACCTTTTCAATGTACTCCTACTGCTTAGAATGAACTCTGAAAATTCTTTTTGAAAACCAGCTAATCAGCATTCTCCCATTCTCCATTAGTATTGGTCTTTTTCCTTTATGCTTCCTGAAGACCAATAACATTTATATATACCAAGCTCACCTTAATTACTGGTGCCATCAGTCAACTTAATTAGCACATTCTCTACTTTGTCTTCCAGATCTTTTATAAAGATATTAAACAAAATGGGACCCAGTATCGATCCTTGTGGGACCCTACTGGAAACCTCTCCCCAACTAGACGGACTACCAATTACGATTTCTCTCTGTATACGGTTAGATAGCCAGTTTTTAATCCATTTATTTCTATTTCTGTTTGGGACAAATTTGTTTAGCTGTTCCCTTTAAAATAATGTTTGGCATTTTTGAAGATAATCTATAGGCATGTATCCACAGATTTGAGTCTAAGGGAAGTATCCTTTGAAGACCTACTTGAGTCTTCAATATAATACAGCTGTGTGGACAACAACCTTAAGAAATTATTGCAATGCTAGAGAACAAAGCAAGTAGATTGTATTTGGACATGCCTATTGTTTATATGGAGAGACTGCAGTATCATGATATAACTTAGCTTTCCTTGGTTTTGGTGTTGAGGGTTTTAAACAGTTGAGTGAGTATTCTGTTGTTTGGAATATTGGAATTCAGAAACTTTACGTTCTACTCTAGATTACTTATTTGTGACTAAGATTGTTATGTTTGCATCAAGTCCTTGCTTTATTGTTATTTATTTTATAAATAAGCGTTTTTTTTGGCAGGACTGGCTCTGTTATCATGAGAGATGAAGACAGTAATTGAAAGTATTCTGTGATTAATCAAGTCTCAGTTTATTTTTACTAATACTTAGAGTTGGGGTTCTGAATCCCCATGTGTCTGTGACTTTAATTGACAAACGGTCCATCATATTACCTTTGGAGTAAGAGGAAGAGAATGAACACAATAATCTCAGCACAATAATCTTCCACCACTAGCCCATTGGGACATTTTGGTTTTGAGTTTTAATGTCCATTTCCTGATGGAGATGAAGTGATACTGAGTGCTTTTCAACCCTTCCTGTGAGGACTTGATGCCTAAGGAGTTCCCTATTGTATCTCTGAACTATCTCACTTTTCTTTAATTTTGCTATTTGGGCAAAATTTTGCTCTTTGGTCTTGGTGCAGAGGCGCAGGTGTGAGTGCTGTATCAGATGGCTTCTTTGTTTTGGTTCTTCGTTGCTTTTATAATTTTTATTGCTTGTTAGGAATTTACCGGAGAAATGGCAATAGGTTCTGGGATCAGAGACATTTGAGAGTTTGTTAATCATGGTTTTCGTCTTAATCTCTTCAAGAATTCTGGAAGCTAAGGTGTCTGTGCTTTCAGGCTATCATGACTATGTTGTTTCTGCTCTGATTTTTAAACTTCAGTTACTCTTGTTGAAATGAAGGTAGAAAGTAGACTGGTTTGATCCAGCACCACTCTGGGAGGAATGATAATCATTTTGAATGCAATCCTGTGGAAGCTGGTGTTTAGACTATTATTGAAGAATGTTGCATTTAAAAAAACAAATCAAATTACTATGATTGGTCTGATGATTGGATAAAACACCAAGAAAATTCAGAACATCCTCTCACCATGAGACTATTTTGAAGAAATATTGCTTCTTACATGTCAAGTTGTTTAAGTGATAGCTTCAAAGAGTTAATATTCTATGACCCAATGATCAAGACCCTTGTTTTTCAAGATCTTGTTTCATATAACTGGTTAAAGAGAATGTTCAACAATATACAATGAAGTACAAAATTTAATGTTTTCTGATTTTGTGTGTTTTTCCAGATATGTCTTTGTTCTCTTCTTTGGGTCTTTAAGTTTGTGCTCAGAAATTGAAATATAAATTAACACTGAGGATTTTAAATAATGTTTTTTTTTTTAATTCGAGCTGTAATATGCTAAATAATCAAGATGTTCCTGGCAATCATGAGAGGCAAGAAGGCGGCTGTATTTTAGAGTCAGACTGAAAAGGGTCCACATTGTGTTATTGTTTTTATGAGCTGTGCAACATTGGATATTTTAATGTTTTAAGTCCTTTGGCTGAAAACTGGAGTCACTAATTTCTGCCTTATGGAGCTGCTAAGATGATTGGGATAATTATGCTAAAAACATATACAGTACCAGCTAAGAGCACTCGATTAAAATTGGCTAGAAATATTGGGATGGTGACAGAGTTTTAAACAATGGAAAACACCTGTATCCCCCACACATAGGTATAACCATCATTAATACTACCTTTGGTTCAAGCTTAGTGATACTCTTTTAAAGAGGTAATCATGTTCTGCCATTGGATAGATTGCTAGTTTCCTCATTTCCAAGTATAAATCAAATTAATGGTGGCAATATTTCACTGAGTGCCAAATTATCAGGGGTATCTACTACAAACAACTATAAAATGAGCCTCATTTTGCTGACATACTTTGTGTACTGTTAACTCCTTTTATAGAAAATGGAATACTTTTGGTCCCATAATGAAATGATGCCTATTTACTTATCACTCCCTATGTTGTTCTGTATGTAGTTTGCTCAGATATTGGCACCATAGAGGAGTGTGCCATATGTACATTATGCCTCTAAAATGAGAGGAAAAAAAAGAAACAACAGAAAGCACATATTTTACTCTACCCAATTAAGTATTAGGGAGATGGGAGGATAAAATAAGTCTAGATCTATTTTATTTTCTGTCTAAAGAGTTATAAAGTAAAACCAAAAATTGAAAAGTAAAACAAACCAAATGAGAGGGAATGAGAGGGGATTAAAGGGTGGAACTAGGCAGATTGAGGCATTGTAGCCAAGGCTCATGACCTGGGTTTATTCCAAGACCCACACGGCATAAGAAGAGAAATGATTTCTACAAGCTGTCTTCTGGCCACACAAGCATGCACCCATACACATGCACATATACAAATACACACACACATACACATACACACTCACATACACACACACACACACACACACACACACACACACACACACACACACACACAGAGACAGAGAGAGACAGAGTGAGAGAGAGAGAGAGAGAGAGAGAGAGAGAGAGAGAGAGAGAGAGAGAGAGAGAGAGAGAGAGAGAAAGACATAGATCCAAAGGCAAAGTAGTCTTTCTAGGGGCTAGAAAATGTGTGTGGAAAGAATGTTACATTTGCATCAACTAAAACTAATAGGATCACTATAGAAAGGTAGCTCCTACCTTAGAAAAGAATGTCTAGTTCAGCTAGTCAGATAGTTTCCACAATAAATTCTTTCAAATATTAAGATGTAGTCACCTTCAGCAGTACTAAAATTCTTGTAGGACAGCCGGAAGGAAAACTTGCAACTGATCTAGAAGTTCACCACAGTTAAATGATGCTAAACCCCTATCAAACCGCTATAAAGTAAACTATAGGTCTACAGATCTATAGGTTTACTTCAATAGTGAATATCAACGGGAGGAAAAAATCATTAGGTAGATATATCCAGAGAAGACCTGGGCTAACTTTAAGATGTGTGTTATCTTGAAGTATAAGGATAATATGCATAAAAGTTGAAAGAGTGAAAATTTTCTCCGCCTGTAGACACCATAAAAACTGTTCATAAAACTTAAGCATTTACTCTTGGCTATAAATGAAAAATAACTTGATAAACTGGACAGTCAGATCTCCAAAAGAAAGTAGATTAACATTGTCCAATAGTGTTCAATTTTAAAACAAATGATCCACTTCTTAAAGCTCCTGAACTTAGGGTGGGGCACACATAATATGGATATTTATCTTCTCATTCTGTCTTATGCCTCCATTTATCCATGCCTGAATTATTTTACAGTATTTATTTTACACCAACAGAGTCTCAGATTCTAGAAAATGAGGTAAAGTTTCTATTGTCAGGAAACAAATTTTTCCTGAGAAAACTCTGTAAGGCTTATGAAATGTTTATTAAATAAAAGAAAGAAGAGAAAGTGTGTGTTCCATGAGCAGTTCTGGGAATCAAGAGCTGGCATCAAATTTTTATTAACCACCTTCCTATTAATATTGAATTATTTCACAACAAGAAAAAAATACAATACCTCCGGCAAGTTCCTTTTTGTGTTCCTAAGGAAATTCAGAATTGCTATGGCCTCTGCTGTAATGAGGTTTGCAAGATAGCTTGATGCTGATTTAATTTTGGCAAAGGGTACCTAGGGAGACATAACAAAAATGGACCCTGACATGATTTTTGACAAGGTGTCTCTTTTCCTCACTCCTATCAGCTCTGACTACAGATTTCTGGAAGGTGGAGAAGCTCTATCAGGATACCTGTAGTGGTTCCTTAAAGAGGACTAGGGGCTGAGCATCTGAGTCAGGAGAGGGGAAGGCAGCCGGTCTCAGCTGCTCCCTTGAGAGCATACTGTAATATCAAGGACCCACATAGGGACACTGCTTCATGGAGCATTTCACATTTCTGCAGGCTGGGAACAAGGACTATTATTGTTATTGGACACATTCATGAAGTACACTATGATAACCCAATACATGTATGCAGTATGCTCTATTTAAATTGGGATAATTAATGTTTTAATACTTTTTTCATTATTTAATTCTAGGAACCTTCTGGTTCTTCTCTTCTAGTTCTTCCTATGACATGCAAGGTGACCATGGACTGTTACATCCCTGTGGTATAGGGTATTAGATCCTCCGCCTTCTGTCTATGTTTATTACCCATTATCTAACTTCCATCTATAGCCCCTATACCTCGCATCTTCATAATCTCTAGTTGTCACAGTTCTACATTCGGATGGACTATTTTAAGGCCTAGGAATTATTTGAGAATGCTGGCCTCCTGAAACCAAACACATGAGTTTTGTCCCTGTGATAGTCTCCAAGCTACACTCTGTTCTGCTTCTAATTGCCTTTGGCAGGGGAGCATGGAACTTCTCACAAGAGTACAGATTTGGAAAGAACATCATGAATGTGATGATAGTTCACTAAATATTTACCAAAGGATTACTCCTAGAGAACAGCAATCTCTATATTGATGGTTTAAGGGCACAGAGAGTTCTAGCTTGATGAATCCAGCTTCACCTTGGATTGGAGACAGCCTGTAACTTAAGCCACAAGACTCAGTTTTTAGCAGTGTGTGCTTGGGATGGAAGGTTGGTGATTCACAAAATCCCCCTTTGCACAGTAGAAGTTTCAGCTCTGCCCTGAAATGGTGGTCTTAAGAACTATCCCAAAAGTCAGGCAGAAAGTTCTTGAAAGAGCAGCTGGCAGTTGCAAATGGTAACTCTGACTTT